TCAAGCGAGTCTCCTGCCTCCGCCTCCCAAGTAGCTGGGACCACAGGTGCCCGCCACAACGCCCGGCTATTTTTTGGTTGCAGCCGTCATCGTTGTTTGGCGGGTCCGGGCTGGGGATTCGAACCCGCCACCCTAGGTGCACGTGGCTGGCGCCCTAGCCGGTTGAGCTATAGGCGCTGAGCCACAATCTCAATTCTTAACTCGCAAGGAATCTGGCATCCCATCCATTTGCAAGTATTCCTCTCCATATTCCATTACAACCACTGTTTAGTATGTCAAGAAGAAGCCCAGAGCAGAGAGCCACGGGAACCTGATTCAAATGCTAGTGTTGTCACTTAGTAGCTGTGTAACCCAGGGCAAATTACTTGACCTCTCTGGTCCTCAACAATCTCACCTGTAACATGGGGAAAACAGTGGTTCTGACTGTGCAGGACATTATAAGAATGAAATGAACAAATGGGGCAAAGCCTTCAAAGTGGTCCTTAGCATACTTGTATATGAAGAGCTGGACAACCTTGATTTATATACTACTATTATCAACTATGACAGCCATTCGAAACAAATAGTGCCACAAAGTATTTACACAGCCTAGTTCTCCTGTATGATCCTGTACGATCATGTCAACTAGACATTTCTCAGTCTATTCTCATCTGTGAAGAAGGAATATTAGCCTGGAAAAACCCTGTAATGTGCCCTTCTCCATTTAACAAATATCTATCTATTAAGGACATGGTATATGCCACACATTATCTCAAGTTATGTGAACACAACTAAAATGATATTTTTCATCATACAGTCTAGTGGTAAATCCAGTTAAACAGTATGGCAGGGATCAAAGAACATAGAAAAAAGAGAAACTGTATCACTGTACTAGGGAAGAAGCGGGAGGAAGAAGGAAAGGTGACACCTTCCAGTTGATTTTTGGAGAGTTTATGGAAGTTGCAGAGCTTGGGGAGTGAGGTAAAGAGAGGAAGGATTTGGGGGATGTTTTGCTGAGTGTTCAGAAGTGCACCCACTCCAAAGGCATTTTCTTTTGGAGTAAAGGGATGGCAGTAGAGATTAAAATACCTTAATTATTTTTTGAACACCAGATTACTGTTTTCTTCCTTTCCTTCCTTTTCTTTTTCTTTCTTTCTCGGATTTTTTTTTAAGACTATACCATGACCAGGCTGAGTTTTTCCTTGAATTGTAAAGATGGTTTACTACTAGAAAATTATAATTAATCACAAATGTGAGGCCACTTACAAGGTCCCCATGAGTCCTGCAGGAGCAACATGTAGTCATGAAAACAAAAACAGAAGAACCTTACAATCATTTCAAAGGATACAGAACAGCAATTGGTAAAAGTTTGATCTAAGTTAAAGATAGAATTAAGAATATAAAGTTTTATGTTTTTTTATTTAATTGTAGAGAAAGAGTCTTTCTCTGTCACTCCAGCGAGAATACAGTGACACAATCGTAGTTCATTGCAACCTTGAACTCCTGGGCTCAACCAATACTGCCACCCAAATAGCTGGAACTACAGTTGTGGTTCATTTATGGCATGCACCTATACTCCCAGTGGCTAGGAAGGCTGAGGTGGAAGGACCACTTGAGCCCAGGACTTTGAGGTTGCAGTGAGCTATGACAGCAATGCAATCTAGCCTGGATGAGAGAGCAAGACCCTGACTCAAAAAACAAAAGCAGGCTTGTAAGGCACCAGCCATATACATCTAAGGTGGTGGGTTCAAATCCAGCCTGGGCCCGCCAAACAATGATGGCTGCAACCAAAAAATTGCCAGGCATTGTGGCAGGCGCCTGTGGTCCCAGCTACTTGGGAGGCGGAGGCAGGAGACTCGCTTGAGCCCAGGAGTTGGAGGTTGCTGTGAGCTGTGATGCCACAGCACTCTACCCCGGGGAACAGCTTGAGGCTCTGTCTCAAAAAAATTATAATAATAAAATAAATAAATAAATAAAAATTAAAGCTATCAGGTGGTGCCTGTGGCTCAAAGGAGTGGGGTCCCGGCTCCATATACTGGAGGTGGTGGGTTCAAACCCAGCCCCAGCGAAAAACTGCAAAAAAAAAAAAAATTAAAGCTATCACTAAGCATGGCCTAAGTCAAGAACTTGGTACACAGCAGCAAGCATTTATCATTTTTGTGATGACATACACTAATAACACATACTATTTTGCTAACACAAATAAGAGCTCTAATAGCTGTGTCTGAAAGGCCAGGGTCCTCACCTTCCAGCCAAGAGCATGTAGCCCCACTACAGCTCCATAGTGAGAGCAGAGAGGCCGCACAGGGTCCACCAGGACCTTCTGCAGCGAGAGCAGGATCTGTTGATAGAGGCCACTTACAAGGTCTCCATGAGTCCTGCAGGAATAACATGTAGTCATGAAGAAGAATAAGACTTGGCACTGCCCAACTGGTCACAAGACACAGCATACAAAGAATAGCATTTGGTACACTAGGGCATGCTGGGGTATGTGAACAAGGCTACCAAAGGTGACTGGCCCAGGAACTGAAAGCTGAGGAAACAGTATCTTGACATATTTGCAATCTTATTTCCAGAGTCCCAATGTGCCAAAGTAAACCAGCTAAGAAGTGCTAATGAGAGGATTTCCCTATCCTCTGAACAGAAAGGCCAAAAGTTTCACCCCATCCCTCTACCCCAATCCAATCAGCTCTTCAGCATTCCCACCCTTTGCTAAGCTCTAGGCTCAGGGGCTACCAGAAGATGTGGCTGAGCAGGAGGGCAGCGCCATCCCGCAGAGTCCAGTGGTCATTTAGGGGGTTGATGGAAGCAGCCAGTGGCTCCAGGACACAGTACAGGACACTGCCCACTAGGGAGCGGACGTAGGGACCCAGGCAGAGGTGTGGATTCCGAACCAGACTCCGTGCCACCTGCAGAAGCCGATGCAACTGCTCTAGGTCGTGGCTTACAGATTTTACCTGATGGCAGAAGAGGGTAACTTAGACGTGAACTAGTAAGGGGGCAGGCAGGAGCCCACCATTCTGATAGCACATGTCATGTGCCCTACACACTGCTGTGTCATTTCCCCCCATACAAAACATTCCCCCTGCCCCAGCCTGGTCACTTACCCCACTGACCACATAAACAAAGTAAGGCAAAAGTGCTGCAATCTTCGAGTTTGTCTGCAAGTCCTGGAGTGCAACCTAAAAGGAAGGTTACTCAGTACCCCAAATAGAAATTGCCATTGTTGTGGAGGGCAGCTTAGCACTGTAATTCATTATTCCAATTTTAAATGTTCATACCCTTTGATCTAGCAATTCTATAAATTTAACCCAGAGAAACCCACTCATACGCATATATAGCCTGTTTGTAATAACAAAAACACTGAACACAGCCTAAATGTACAACTTTTTTTGTTCTTTATTGAGACAGTCTTACTTTGTTGCCCTTGGTAGAGTGCCATGGCGTCATAGCTCACAGCAACCTCAAACTCCTGGGCTCAAGTGATTTTCTTACCCCAGTCTCTCAAGTATACCTGGGACTACAGGCACCAGCCACAACACCTGGCTGTTTTTAGACACAAGGTCTGGCTCAGTCTCCAACCTGTGAGCTCAGGCAATCCACCTGCCTTGGCCTCCCAGAATGCTAGGATTACAGGTGTGAGCCACTGCGCCTGGCCAATACAACATATTTTTAATTGAGAAAAGCAAGCTGTAAAACAAGATGTTTAATATGTTACTACTTAAGTATGTGTAATTATAGTTAATACATAGGGAAAAAATGTGATTGGAGGAACAGGAGTCTTTCTACTTTGTATGTTTTCATATTATATGTACTTCTACAATAAGCATATAATGGTATTGCTTTTAAAAAGAGAAGAAAAGTAAAAACCTTGAACTTCCACCACCTAGACCTTCCAAGGTCCTTTGGATAAAGATCCTAAGCCTAAGCCTAGGGTGGCGCCCGTAGCTCACTGGCTAGGGCGCCAGCCACATACACCCCAGCTGGTAGGGTTCGAACCCAGCCAAGGCCAGCTAAACAGCAATGACAACTGCAACAAAAAAATAGCCGGATGTTGTGGCAGGCACCTGTAGTCCCAGCTACTTGGGAGGCTGAGGCAAGAGAATCGGTTAAGCCCAATAGTTTGACGTTGCTATGAGCTATGATGCCACAGCACTCTACCAAGGGTTGACAAAGTTAAACTCTGCCTCAAAAAAAAAATTCCTAAGCCTAGCAGCAATGAAATCAGACAAAAAGACTAGTGAGGTGGCTCGCTGCCTGTGGCTCAAGCAGCTAAGGCGCTAGCCACATACACCTGAGCTGGTAGGTTCAACCCGGGCCTGCCAAACAACAATGATGACTGCAACCAAAAAATAGCCAGGCGTTGTGATGGGAGGTGGAGGCAGGAGAAGTGCTTGAGCCCAGGAGCTAGAGGTTGCTATAAGCTGTGATGCCATCACACTCTACCCAGGGCAACAGCTTGAGGCTTTGTCTCAAACAGAAAAAAAAAAAAAAAACTAGTGAGGGCTGGGTGTGGTGGCTCATGTAATCCTAGCACTCTGGAAAGCCAAGGCGTGTGGACTGCCTGAGCTCACAAGTTTGAGACCAACCTGAGCAAACCAAGATCCTATCTGTACTAAAAATAGAAAAACTGAGACAAGAGGACTGCTTGAGCCTGAGCTGGAGGTTGCTGTAAGCTATGACACCATGGCACTCTACCCAGGGTGATAGCTTGAGACTCTGTCTCAAAAAAAAAAAGACTAGTGAGGAAAGAGTTCAGTTCCCAGGTCCACAGCCAACCACCTGTACTGTGCCTGGGAAACAGAAGCCAAGTTTCGAAGACAGGAACATAATGGTAGCAATGTTCCTAATTTTCCAAGGGACACTGCAGTAGCCAGACAAAGAGGAGGTAGCCACATGATTGAGCAAACCACCAAACTCGCCCTCATCTGACTCAGGACGGAGAGGACTGATCACAGGTAGTGTGTCCAGCAAGCCCTATGGAACCTAGAGACGAAAGCAGCAGGGGCTGGTACGAGGTTGAGGGACCAAGAGCTGAAGAGCAGGCCAGATCAGGGTGCCTTCTATTTTCTCCTCTCTCTTTCCCAAGTCCAGATAAAATGAAAGCTGCAACATGGATGCCCTCTTTGGGTCAACAGAAATCGCAGAGAGTGGGCTCCAGAATGAAGGTATGGGGAGACTGACCATCTAAGCCCTCCAAAGGGGTCTGCTAAGCTGCCCCTTCCCCAAGGAACAAGGTTTCCTACTCCAGTATAAAAGGACCAGTGCTGCAGGAGGGCCAGACTCAGACCACCACACACAGCTGGAGAGCAGCTTCCACTCACCTCAGTCCATCAGTCTGGAGAGGACAAAAAGTAGGCATATTCAAGTTCATGGGAATTTAAAAGTTCAACTTAGTGCCCCAACTTGGACCCACTTGCTCACCTTCATTAGCTGTGGATCATCCCCTAGCACAGCCCGAGTCACCTGCTGATAGTACTTGAGAAGGTCATCCGTCAGGGAAGACACGGCACTGGGTACTGTGTAAGGATGGGCAGGGAGAAGTGGAGAGCTGGGCCCCTCCCAGCTTGTTCCCCTACAACCACCACCACCACCCACATCCACAAGAAGCTATTCCGAGGGGACAGCCCAGGCACAAAGATTCCCACTGCTCTCCCCAGCCTGCTGAGCCCTACCACCCAGGCGCTGCATATATCCGTGCTCTACTCACTGGCTCCTACCCACCCTCCATCACATGGATTCCCACTAGCCTCAGGCTCTGTGAAGCTTGCTCAGCATACCAAGGTGAGACACTTTCCCACTCGTTGACCCCAGCACACTGCCCAGACTTCCATTCTATCATCTAACACACTGCATCATTACTGGTTACAGGTCGGGGTACCCATCCCCAACTCTGAGCCCTCTGGGCAGGGATCAGCAGCCACTCAGAACATGGTACAAGGCAGGCATCAGTAAATGCAAATGCACTCAGAGGCATAGAGGCATCCCCCTTAGCACCTAAAAAGTCCATCCAGAGGGACCATTCTCTACACTACCCCTTACCTGATCCTTTTTTATTGAGACAAGATCTTGATTTCTTGCCCAGGCAAGAGTGCAGTGCCATTATCAGAGCTCACTGTAATTTCAAACTCCTCAGCTCAACTGATACTTCTGCCTTAGCCTCCTGAGTAGCTGGGACAACAGGCATGTACTACTATATGCCCAGCTAATTTTTCCATTTTTTGTAGAGATGGGAGATTTCACCATGTTGCTGAGGCTGGTCCTTTTTTTTTTTTAAGACAGTCTTACTGTCACCTTGGGTAGAGTGCCCTGGCATCATACCTCACAGCAACCTTAAGCTCTTAGACTTAAGCAATCCTCTTGACTCAGCCTCCTCAATAGCTGGGACTAGGCATGTGTCACTACACCTGGCTAATTTTTCTACTTTTAGTAGAGATAGGGTCTTGCTCTTGCTTAGGCTGGTCTTCAACTCATGAGCTTAAGGAATTCATTTGCGTCAGTCTCCCAAAGTGCTAGGATTACAGGCATAAGCCACCTGGCCTGGCAGTTTGGTTGGTCTTTTTTTTTTTTTTTTTGTAGAGAGAGTCTCACCTCTTCATCCTTGGTAGAGTGCAGTGGAGTCACAGCTCACAGCAACCTCCAACTCCTGGGCCTAGGCAATTCCCCTGCCTCAGCCTCCCAAGTAGCTGGGACTACAGGCGCCCGCCACAACGCCCAGCTATTTTTTGTTGCAGTTTGGCCAGGGCTGGGCTTGAACCCGCCACCCTTGGTATATGGGGCTGGCACCCTACTCACTGAGCCACAGGCGCCTCCCTAGGTTGGTCTTAAACCCCTGGCCTCGAGTGATCCTCCAGCCTTATTCTCCCAAAGTATAGGATTACAGGTGTGAGCCACTGTGCCTGGCCCCCTTACCTGATCCTTGAGGTGCCAGGTTCCCTTTGCCATCCAAGTAGGAGACGTGAACTAGAACCAGAACCGAGAAAGATGTGTCAGCCTAGGGTTTTGCTCCTTTTAGCACCACCTGTTCTCCCATGTTCTGTCCCTTCTACCAGCCACCCCATCACTACTCCTCTGATAGCCCAGCTCTGGTCCCCACCCAATGCAGGACCCTGGTAGCCACCTCTGACAGCTGTCTCAGCACAGCCTTTGGGGATGTTGGTAGCCAGGGCCAACTCCACCAGGTTCACCTCTCGGTCCTCAGGAAAGTAGAGCTCACCCTCCCTGGCAGAGCGCAGGGGCAGTACTTCCTGGGATCCATAACCACACACAGCCTGAGAAAAAAGGTTTGAACAGCAACTGAATCTAGGAAGGGAACAGGTAACAGGATCCAAAATGGGGCTTTACCGACCAGGGCAGGGAACCTTATGTTTGCTATGTTTGCTAGGGAAATGCAGAGGGCCCAAGAGAAGTGCAGGAAGTCTGGGGCTCAGAGTCATCACTGGGAACTTGGCTGGAGCATCCATGGCTCATTGAGTCATGGGGTATAACATAGTCCCTCTTCATGTAACTGTAGGAATCCTGAGCCCCACTCCCCCAGCTGCTGGTCCTCCTCAATCACACTCACCCAATTTTGAAAACTCACTAGTCTCTTCTAAATATGACCTTCTTCCCTTAATTCTTTGCCCTAGAAAAACTATTCTAGGACATCCTAATACCCACACTTTTAAACTCCTCTCTTACCCAGAATGCCCTCTTTTCCTCTTGGCCTAGTTAACTCAGGCTCAAGTTCTTCACCACCCTTTAAAGCCCAGCTCAAGGCCTATCTCTTCCAAGAAGAGTTCCCTAACCTCCAGTCCTCCAGCAGCCTCTTCTCCCTCTCTGCTGAGCTCATAGCCCTGTGCACTGGGCCAAGCACCTGGCCTACTATCACTGTGGGCTTCCCTTGTGTGACAGTTTGGTCTTTGTGTCTAGCCACATTATTGGTCCTAAGCTGGACAGAGTTGGGGAGGGCTCATGCCACCTGAACTCTCTGGGGCCTGCACCCCACTCACTTCCACACTGCTCCATCTGAGGGCCCTGTTGAAGTCCTCAACTGTCAGCTTCCGACGTTTGGTGTGCTTCATGAACTGAGAGCTATTCTGGGGAGGGAGGCATAGAAATCAGTCAAGGGACAGAAAGCAGGGAGTGTGGGAGCTCCCTGGTAAGGTGGGCCAGACTGGAGAGGAGACAAAAAAGATACACCACACCAGCAATCACAAAGCTGGGTGCCAGCTCTGCTCCTGTACAAACTACACCCCCAGTGTCATGTCCCCTCTCTGTTTCTTTTTTTGTGTGTTTATGGATAGCAAGAAGGATGTTCGTCAAATGTGCCTCTGTTTCTCATGTGCAGAACGTAAATATCCACCTGCTCTGCCTGCCAAGATGGGCTGTTGTGAGGAGCACATGAGAGCACCTGGCAAGGACTTTGTTTGCTGGCAGCCCAGATGGCTAGAAGGGGAGCTCTATATAGGCATGGAACACCTCCACTGTGTGCCCTCAAGCACAAGGCAGGTGCCCAATGTATGCTTGTTAATCAGTATGGGAGGAGGTCAGTACTACATAAAAAGGCAAGAACAAGGAAAGTCTGAGGGCACAGGAGATTGAGGGGAACATACCTGTGTGGCCTCTCTGAGACGGTAGCAAACATCCTCTGCCAGCAGGGCAGCCACTTCATCACTCAGCTCCAGGCCCGTGCTTTCTGCCATGAGCCGGACAGACTCCCGAGGGATCTCTACAAAGCGTCGTTCTTCTCGCTCTGACATGACCCCAGTGGATCTGGGAGTTGGGAGGGAAGGTTCAAAATGCTAACTCGGTCTCCCCCAGAAGCATGACTCTAACACATGACCCTCCAAACCAGTCCTGCTGGTCTAGCTCCAGAGTTCCTGTACAAAGAGCTCCAAGCACCCAGATGAGGAAACTGAGGCTCAGAGAAGAAAACAAACTGGCCAATGTGTGAATAATAGTGAACTTACAGAAAGTGCCTGGATTTAGAGTTCACAGAGCTAGGCTCCAGCTTTCTCCTGACACTTACTATATGAATTTGGCCAAGACCTTCATCAATCTGGGCCCTAAACTCTAAAATAGGTATAATAATCCCTGCCCCTCTAACTCATAGAGGATGAAAGGAGATGATGTATGATAGAGAACTAGAACAGTACACCAATGGAAGAAAGTAGAATAGTACACCAGTGGAAGATGTCACCACGTTAATTATAAACAAAATCTTCATGTCTTCTGACTCTTACTACAGGCACTATTAACTAAATTTTGATGAAAACACTACTTTTATCCTTGCTCAAAAGTCTTCAATACTGTTTATAAAAAGAAAGTTCATTACAGTGTCTCATGCCTGTAATCCCAGCACTTGAGAGGCCAAGGTGAGTGAATTGCTTGAGCTCATGCATTCGAGACTAGCCTAAGCAAAAGCAAGACCCTGTCTCTGCTAAAAATGGAAAAACGGAGGCAAGAAAATCGCTTAAGCCCACGAGTTTGAGAATGCTGTGAGTTATAATGCCACGGCACTCTACCAAGGGCAACAAAGTGAAACTCTGTCTCAAAAATAAATAAATAAAAAGAAACTTCAAGCTCCCCAGCTTGCCATTCTGTATTTGGTGCCAAATCCCCTCAGCTGCTGGACCTGAGCCCTTCTCCCCACAAGACCAGCCAGTGTCTTCCAGCCTCACCTATGACCTATCATCAAGCCTTGCTCAGGCTGGTCTCCTCCCTATTCCAAATCCCCTCTCCCTCCTCTTTGCTAAGACAAATCCAATTTCTGAGGTCTTCTGTCCCAAATGCCATCTGGGGGAAAAAAAAAACAACAGTCCCAAATGCCATCTGGGACTGTCACATGCCCATGTGTATGGTCTTCCCTGGTTTGGCTGCAAGGCCTAAGTGGACAAACCTGTTCTGTTCACAAGATATGGCAGAATAAGAATCCAACAAAAACAGTAACTGAAAAACAAATAACAACAACAAAAAAACAGTAGCTGATGACTGACTCCAACAGTACACACACCATTAGCAAGTAGGCATGCACACATGTGCCAAAGTGCGGCATCAGCACCCCAGGAAGCAAGACCTAGCTCTACAATGACCCATGTCCCTAAGCCAATGGGCATCCTACCTAACCTCTCCATGGCATTCCTCCCAATGACTCCACATTGCTTAGGGATAAATAGCTCCATAAGCCGTGCATATGCTGCCTACTTCTGCAACACCTCTTACCACTCTCTCTCTCTCTTGTGTTCTGCATTCCTACTTGTGGCCTCCTTTCATTTCCTCAAAAACAGTTATTTCAGAACCTTTGTACATTCTGTTTCCTCCACTTGGAACTCTCTCCTCCTAGTCTCCCACCCCTAATCCCTTTGTCCAGTAAACTCTTACTTGCTCCTTCAGATCTCAGGTCAAATGCAACTTCCTTATAGAAGTCTTCCCAGATCCCCCTAAATGTCCCCATACTCTGCCTTAAAACATTATAAAAGTCTGTACTTATATATTTGTGTACCTTTTTGATTAATACCTACTGCCCCACTAGACTAAGTCCCATGCCAACAGGGATCATGTCTGCTTGCTCGCTTTTGCATACTTGATGTTTAGCACAGTATGAGTACATAACACACCCTCTACAAATACTTGCTGAAAGAACATAGAATAGCATTATGCCTGAAGCACTGAGCAAAGTGCTTTATTCAGGTTACTTCACTGTATCAGTAATAAGATAAGTAGGGCCAGGTGAGTGGAGGCTCACACCTGTAATCCTAGCACTCTGGGAGGCTGAGAAAGGTGGATTGATTGACCAGCCTGAGCAAGGGCGAGAGACTCCCTCTCTAAAAAATAGCCGGGCGTTGTGGTGGGTGCCTGTAGTCCAAGCTACCAGGGAGGCTGAGGCAAGAGGATAACTTTGAGCCCAAGAGTTTGAGGTTGCTGTCAGCTATGACGCGACGGCACACAGGGCAACAAAGTGTTATCAAAATAACAATAATGATAAAAATAAGGTAAGTATTATGTACATTGTCTATTTTATAGGCAAAGCAATCAAAGCTCAGAGAGGTTAAATGTTACATGACTTGTCCAAGATCATCCAGAAAGCACTAAGGTAGTAAGAAGCAGGATAGCACAAGTAGCACTCTTGTTCCTAATCATCACACCATACCGCATTCAGGAGCGGCCAACTGTGTGGGCAACGAGGGCTGAATCGCTTCCTAAAGACTTCGGCGTTGGCAATGCCCATCACTCGGTGACCTTAGACCTGCCAACAGATAATTGCTAAGGTGCAGTTTCCCCATCTGTAAAATGGAAGCATTAAGTCTTGTGCACGGGTAAGGTAAGGTGCGAGTTTCCCTATTTATTATGCACCCAAATTAAGACCCCACAAAGTCCAGACTCTAATCTAGGTCTCCCGCTCCTCAACCTGATCTCCTCCGCGTCCTCAGCTGATAGTAACACTGGTAAAGAGGAATGGGAACTGACCTATACAGGCCTCAGAGATGCTTACCCTCCCACCCAGCCCGGCCAGGCCCAGAACCAGAACGGGTGGGGTGGAGAAGGTCAGGGGTCATTGGGCATGGGTCACGTGGCCAGCGAAGGGGGTTGTCTCCCGCAGAGTGGGCGACAAGGCCCCTGAGCTAGAGGGCCGCAGTGGAACTGAAAGTCCCTGAGCCAAGGCGAGGCCTGTTCACCTGAGAGCTCCGGCGTGGCAAAGGCGACTAGAGAGATGCCCGCGGCGGCGACAGCTCCCGCTCCCCCAGCTCACACTAATTCCCTCTCTCGGAGCCCAGGCCACGCCCACCAGGATTACAGCCAATCAACAGGTACCTTCCGGAGTTCCCGCCCCCCAGGAGGCTTCCCCCCCAAGTTACTGGCCAGTGCGAACAGTGCGCTGAAGGCCCTGTCCTGGGTCACGTGACAGTAAAGAGTCGCTCTTCTTAAAGCAACAGCTCTTGCTAATTTTGTGGTCTGGTTTGTGTATGCTTTGGCACGCTTCGCTTAATACTCATTTTCTACAGGAAAACATCCCCATGCCCTTGGTCTTGTAGGCTCCTGCGTTACCTAGTGCTTGCATTTTTGCCCCTTTGGATCTGGTTTAGTTGTCTTGCTCAACCCACCTTTCCAACTTTCCTGCCACTTTCCCTTCTTCAAGGGATAGATGGGTTTCCCAGTGGGTGTTCTCTGCAAAAAGAGTTCCACTTGGGGACATCATATCTCACAATAACCTCCAACTCTTCTGCTCAAGCCATCCTCCTGCCTCAACCTCCCCAGTACCTGGTCTATTTTTAGTACTGAGATGGGTCTTGCTCTTGCTCAGGCTGCTCTCAAACTCCAGAACTCAAGCAATCCAGCCGAGAGGGGATTTCTGACTGGATGAACAGCCCAAGCAAGCTCTGGACTCCAGGGCTCTGCTCATTCCACACCTGCCTCTTATCCTCCCCATGTAACTGTCCAGTGAATCAAATACAAACCCTCACCTGCCTCGTGTATTTCCATGACTGTTTTACACGCAGTGTGCACTGACAGTTCTCTTCTCTTAACTCACTGCACCAGCAGCGACTTGGGCTGTTCGCAATTAACAATGGGTTTAGGAAGTAAAAGATAGTATTTGGAGTCAAACCAACCTGGATTCAAATTCTGCCACTGCCTTTTGGGCATATTACTTAACCACAATTACCCCCTACAAAACAGAGTAATAATGCCCACTTCACAGGGTTGTTTAAGATGACATGAAATAGGCTCAGCGCCTATAGCTCAGCCGGCTAAGGCGCCAGCCACGTACACCTAAGGTGGCGGGTTCGAATCCCCAGCCCGGACCCGCCAAACAACAATGACGGCTGCAACCAAAAAATAGCCGGGCGTTGTGGCGGGCGCCTGTGGTCCCAGCTACTTGGGAGGCGGAGGCAGGAGACTCGCTTGAGCCCAGGAGTTGGAGGTTGCTGTGAGCTGTAATGCCACGGCACGCTACCCAGGGGGAGAGCTTGAGGCTCTGTCTCAAAAAAAAAAAAAAAAAAAAAGATGACATGAAATAATCGCTGTGAAAACACCTGGAAGAACTGGAAGTCAATTTTGCTTCCCTCGAACATCACAAGGCAGACAGTGAATTCCTTTATGTTCACCCATGATGGGATAGTTTGCACTCAACTATTTATTACGTGTACAGAAGGGAGCTTTCTGCAGAGGGGCATGAATGTACACATTCACTTCCTCTCTCTCAGGCTCTCAGGGCTAGATGCTGCTGCTGCAAAAGAAAATCCTCTGGGTCCTGAGCTGACAAAGCCAGATGGAAGCCACTGGGGTTGCCACATGGGAATCCCACAGGAGATTGTGATCCTGCTATCTTCCAGTCATATTCAGACTAAGAGTGGTTTCAGTGCTTGAACACTGAAATGTCATCCCACCTATGTGTTAAGGGAAGGAGAGAGGGGGCCCGCCTCTCAACTCAGCCACATCTGGGGTGCTGGGAGACCTCCTTGCTAAGATTTACTCATCTGGACAGCCATTGGCAACCTTGGAGATATAAGAGTATGAAGGAAGGCCAGAGGCCTGCCAGAGGCCTGTCAGATGTATCCAACCTTTAAGGGGTTTATCACCAACATGAGTGGGATGGCAACACATGGGTAAAAAGGTCACTTAATCTAGACACCCAGTGATGGATCTGAATAGTGATGGATTCAGAGTTAGGGTTTTAAAAAAATAGCTCTACTGGGTGGTGCCTGTGGTTCAGTGGGTAGGACACCAGCCCCACATACTGGAGGTGGTGGGTTCAAACCTGGACCCTGCCAAACTGCAACAAAAAATAGCTGGGCGTAGGGCAGTGCCTGTGGCTCAAAGGAGTAGGCCGCCGGCACCATATGCCAGAGGTGGCAGGTTCAAACCCAGCTCCCAGCCAAAAACTGGGAAAAAAAAAAAAAAGCTGGGCGTTGTGGCAGGTGCCTGTAGTCCCAGCTACTAGGGAGGCTAAGGCAAGAGAATAGCCTAAGCCCAGGACTGGAGGCTGCTGTGAGCTGTGACATCACAGCACTCTACTGAGGGCGATAAATCAAGACTCTAACAAAAAATAGCTTTACTACTCATTAGCTGTGTGAACACAGTCACATTAGTTCACCCCTCTGACCTATTTCATCATTTGCAAAGTGGGATAAAGAAACTATTTTTGGAACTGTATTGAAGATTCAGGAACATATAACAGGTCTGGACTTAGCATGCTTCCAACACCCACATGGCTCAAGCTCCATGAGTTGCTTCTCTGTGCCATCAGTCTTTTCCTTCCAGGATTGGTGGTTCCATTGGAGAACTTAGGAAGAATTTTACTACTCAGTGAAAACACAGGTGTTTAAACGCCAGAAAAATCTTACAACCAATGAATCAACTCATATTATGTAGAGTGGCAACTAGACAACTACAAAATTGTTTGTTTGTTTGTTTGTTTTTTTTGAGACAGAGCCTCAAGCTGTCCCCCTGGGTAGAGTGCTGTGGCATTACAGCTCACAGCAACCTCCAACTCCTGGGCTAAAGCGAGTCTCCTGCCTCCGCCTCCCAAGTAGCTGGGACCACAGGCGCCAGCCACAACGCCCGGCTATTTTTTGGTTGCAGCCGTCATTGTTGTTTGGCGGGTCCGGGCTGGGGATTCAAACCCACCACCTTAGGTGTACGTGGCTGGCGCCTTAGCCGGTTGAGCTATAGGCACCGAGCCTACAAAATTGTTTACATTAGAAAATTTATTCCAGGTTGGGTGCCCATATCTCAGTGACTAGGGGGCTGGCCACATGCTCCAGGGATAGTGGGTTCAAATCTGGCATAGGCCTGCTGAACAAAAAAGAAAAAATAGCCGGCATTGTGGCAGGAGCCTATAGTCCCAGCTGCTAGGGAAGCTGAGGCAAGAGAATTGCTTGAGTCCAGGAGTTTGACGTTGCTGTGAGGTATGACAGGACTTTACCAAGGGTGACACAGAAGACTGTCTCAATAAAAAGAAAATTCAGGCTCGGCACCTATAGCACAGTGGTTACAGCACCAGCCACATACACCGAAGGTGGCAGGTTTGAGCCCAGCCCAGGCCAACTGACCAACAGTGACAACTGCAATAACAAAAAAAATAACTGGGCATTGTGGTAGGTGCCTGTGGTCCCAGCTGCTTGGGAGGCAGAGGCAGAAGAATCACTTGAGCCCAGAGTTTGAGTTTGCTGTGAGCTGTGACGCCACCGCACTCTACCAAGGGCAACATGATGAGACTCTGTCTCAAAAAAAAAAAGAAGAAAAGAAAATTCATTGCACACTCAGCACAGAAATGTTTATGCATTTATGGATTCAACAAACTTAGAAAAAAAGTAGCATAGCACTAAGACCTAGATAGAAATATGAAAGGAATGCATGCAAATATATAATTTTCTCAATAAAATTTCAATTACAAAGTATGTTATGTATTAAAAAAAATAAAGGGGCAGTGCCTGTGGCTCAGTGGGTAGGGCACCGGCCCCATACATGGAGGGTGGCGGGTTCGAACCAGGCCCCAGCCAGCTAAAACATCAATGAGAATCGCAACAAAGACTAGCGGGGTGTTGTGGTGGGTGCGTGCAATCCCAGCTACTTAAGAGGCTGAGGCAAGAGAATCATTTAAGCCCAGGAGTTGGAGGTTGCTGTGAGCTGTGACACCACAGCACTGTATCAAGGGCAACAGGGTGAGGGACTGTCTCAAAAAAAATAAAGAAAAAGGCTCAGTGCCTGTGGCTAAGGTGCCAGCCACATAGACCTAAGGTGGTGGGTTCGAATGCAGCCTGGGCTCACCAAAACAGCAATGACAGCTGCAACCAAAAACCAGCCAGGTGTTGTGGTGGGCGCCTATGGTCCCAGCTACTTGGGAGGCTGAGGCAGGAGACTCACTTGAGCCCAGGAGTTGGAGGTTGCTGTGAGCTGTGATGCCACAGTACTCTACCCAGGGGGATAGCTTGAGACTGTCTCAAAAAATAAAGAAAGAAAGAAAAAATAAAGGAAAAAAATAAAGAAAATGAAGAGGTGTCAGGTATAGGTGGAACATGTCTATAGTCCCAGCTATTCAGAAGGCAAAAGGGTCACTTGAGCAGGAATTCGACGCTTCCTTGAGCTATAAGAGTACCACTGGGCTCGGCGCCTGTGGCTCAAGTGGCTAAGGCGCCAGCCACATACATCTAAGGTGGCGGGTTGAAATCCAGCCCAGGCCCACCAAACAACGATGGCTGCAACCAAAAAAAAAAAAAAAAAAAATAGCCAGGTGTTGTGGTGGGCCCCTGTGGTCCCAGCTACTTGGGAGGTGGAGGCAGGAGACTCGCTTGAGCCCAGGAGTTGGAGGTTGCTGTGAACTATGCCAGGCACTCTACCCAGGGGGAAGCTTGAGGCTCTGTCTCAAAAAAACAAAAAAAAAAAAAAAAGAGTACCACTGGACTTCAGCCTGGGTTAAAAGGGAGATTCCACCTCAAAAAAGAAAAGAAGAGAAATAATGACTAAATATAATGTATAAATAACAATTTTTTTTCAGACAGTCTCACTCTGTTGTCCAGGTTAGAATGCCATGGCCTCAGACTAGCTGAAAGCAACCTCAAACTCCTATATTCAAGTGACCCTGCTGACTCAACCTCCCAAGCAGCTGGGGCTATAGGCACCCACTACAACATCTGGTTAATTTTTCTATTTTTAGTAGAGACAGGGGTCTTGCTCTTCCTCAGGCTGGTCTGTAACCCCTGAGCTCACAGGATCCTCCAGCCTCACCCTCACAGAGTGCTAGGATTACAGGTGTGAGCCACTGCACCCAGCATGAATAAGAATTTAACATTTGTACCAGAATGTTTATTGCAGCCCAATTCATAATTGCTAAATCATGGAAGAAGCCCAAGTGCCCATCGATCCACGAATGGATCAATAAATTATGGTATATGTATACCATGGAATATTATGCAGCCTTAAAGAAACATGGAGACTTTACCTCCTTCATGTTTACATGGATGGAGCTGGAACATATTCTTCTACGCAAAGTATCTCAAGAATGGAAGAAAAAGTATCCAATGTATTCAGCCCTACTATGAAACTAGTTTATAGCTTTCATACGAAAACTATAGCCCAAGAATATGGGGATGGGGGAGGGGAGGGGAGAGGAAGGATGGATGTTGGGAGGGTAATTGATTGGTGGGACCACCTATGGTCCATCTCACAAGGGTACATGTGAATCTTTCTAAAAGCAGAATATAAATGTCTTAACACAATAACTAAGAAAATGCCATGAAGGCTACATTAACCAGTTTGGTAAAAATATTTCAAATTGTATATAAAACCAGCACACTGTACCTCATGACTGCATTAATGTACACAGCTATGATTTAATAAAAAAAAAATTAAAGGAAGGGCGGTGCCTGTGGTTCAGTAAGTAGGGCACTGGTCCCAGCTACTTGGGAGGCTGAGGCAAGATAACCACTTGAGCCCAAGAGTTTGAAGTTGCTGTGGGCTGTGATGCCACAGACTCTACCAAGGATGACAAAGTGAGACTCTGTCTCAGAAAATAAAAAATAAAAATTGTATATAGACACACTTACACACACATATATATACAGGGTTCCCATAAAGTTCATGTGCAAGTCTACTTTAAATTGCACACAAGCTTTATGGACACCCTTTATTTCTAGTCACTGCCAAAGGTTACCTGGGGGCTGACATCACCTCAGTTGAGATGCTTTCTTTCCCTCACAATATTGCCCAGATTACAGAACAGTGGTGATACCCAGGCCCAGGCACTATCATAGTGTATGTGTATATATATATATATATATATATATTCTCCCAGCTCAGCCTCCTAAGAAGCTGGGACTATAGGCACATATCACTGTGTTCAGCTCTAATATGCATTGTATTTTTTTATTTTTTGAGACAGAGCCTCAAGCTATCCCCCTGGGTAGAGTACCATGGCATCACAGCTCACAGCAACCTCCAACTCCTGGGCTCAAGCGAGTCTCGCCTCAGCCTCCCAAGTAGCTGGGACCACAGGCGCCCGCCACAACACCTGGCTATTTTTTGGTTGCAGCCATCATTGTTGTTTGGCAGGCCCAGCCTGGATCCGAACCTGCCACCTTAGGTGTATGTGGCTAACACCTTAGCCACTTGAGCCACAGGCGCAGAGCCCTAATATGCATTATTAAATGCATGTTATTATAATTAACAGGCTATCATGGGCTAGGCTCCATGCTAACCACCTGAATATATCTCTGATACAGCAACCTCCAAAGAGGGTTTTCTACCCATTTTACAATGAGAGAACAGTCATCCAGTTAAAATGAAAGCTAGCTCTATCAATCCAAATGCCATGTTTTCTTTTTTTTCTTTCTGGGTAGTACTGTAGCATCATAGCTCACAGCAATCTCAAACTATACGCTATTTTCTTGCACTCTAATACACAGCTCTGCTTCCCAAAGAAGTCAAGAAAAGCTGAGGCAAAATAAAAACATAACTGAGATTTGATAGATTAGTAGGTGGCAAGTGGATAAACTGGGAAAGGCCATTCCAAGGTAGACAAATAGTATTGCAAAGGTATAGTATGAGGGAAAATGGCATGTTTAACCTTGTAGGTACTTCATGTATTCTTTTTTATTTATTTTTATTTTTATTTTGTTTTTGAGACAGAGCCTCAAGCTGTCCCCCTGGGTAGTACTGTGGCATCACAGTTCACAGCAATCTCCAACTACTGGGCTCAAGCGAGTCTACTGTCTCAGCCTCCCAAGTAGCTGGGACCACAGGCGCCCACCACAACACCCAGCTATTTTTTGGTTGCAGCCGTCATTGTTTGGTGGCGGGCGTGGGCTGGATTCGAACCTGCCACCTTAGGTGTATGTGGCTGGCGCCTTAGCCACTTGAGCCACAGGTGCCAAGCCACTTCATGGATTCTTATGTTAGTCTAACTAGATTATGAGACCTTTTACGTCTTCAATTTAGTACTGTGATCAATTACCAAATAAAAGCCCCTGATAATTATATGCCCATCTTAGAAAGGGCTGTGTTGGGACCTCGCAATCTACATCATTTTTAGCCTCTCGTATTTCTTTCCCTATCTACCATCTCCATTCCCCTCTTTCCCAATTATACTCTTGGTTACTTTTTTTTTTTGAGACAGAGTCTCACTTTGTCACCCTCAGTAGAGTGCTGTAGCATCACAGCTCACAGCAACCTCCAGCTTTCCAGCTTAGGCAATTCTCTTGCCTCAGCCTCCCAAATAGCTGGGACTACAGGTGCCTGCCACAACTCCCAGCTATTTTTTGTTGCAGTCTGGCCCAGGGCTGGGTTCTAACCTGCCATCCTCAGTATATGGGGCTGGTGCCCTACTCACTGAGCCAGAGGCACTGCCACTCTTGGTTACTTTTGTTTAAAAGATATAGTCTTACTATGTTGTCCAGGCTACTCTTGAACTCTTAGCCTCAAGCAATCCCATCAGGCATGTGCTACTCTTGGTTACTGTTAAGGGCAGGTGAAGGCAAACACTCTGAAACTAAATTAGGATTCAAAATGGTGCCAATGATGAAAGTCAAAGGCCTTAAGACTTAAGAGCCTTGCCTTCAATGAGGTCAACTTTAAACCATGGCAAACAGGTTAATCAGAGCCCCTGGGTGGCTGAGGCTAGTCAAGGCAACAGGCAAAGGAAAAACAGGGGTAGTGAGCAAATGACCCAGTAGCCTTTTTTAAAAAAGAGTTGTTTCTGCCAGAAAAAAAATAACACTTCTATGAGAACTAAGAACACTTTATGGTGAGAACACAAATCCAAAAACCAGGAACAGCAGCTAAGCCAAAACTGTCAGGTTTCTTCTGAGACAAGGTGCCTTCTTTGCCTTTCCAACAGCAGCTGGACTAGGCCTCTAGACAACATGTAACAATCAACTTCCTAGATCAGGACCAAAAGGAGGTGGCTCCCATGCTCAGCTCACAAGTCCTGGGGAAACAGGAACAGCACATCAGTTAGACCCAGAATTTGCAAGCCAATCACATACTTGCCATCCCAAGAGCAGGGCACATGTCCTAGATCTTCCAAACAAACAGCATGAAAGTTTCTTACATCTCTGACTCAGTCATTTAATCCCTATATCTACTCCCCATCCCGACACACCCCTTCTCCAGGCAATAGCCCTGGCAGGTATGACCAGGCACTCACCCAAGTAATCGTCCATCAGGGAGCCAATAGCAAACTGCAGAAGGTAAAAAGAAAATGAAGCCAAGGCAAACACAGAACCATGCTTCTCCTTGAAATCCCAGGCCTTCTCCCACCCATCCCTAGAACCATGCTTCTCCCTGAAATCACAGGCCTTCTCCCACCATCCCTTCTTCCTGGCAGAAGACCATAGAATCCCCACAAACTGTGAGTAGTAAAAAAATCAACAGCTGTCAGCTCTGCCTGGTACAGGCAATAAGGAAGACAAGAGACTCACAATGTCATTCTTATCCACACGGGTCCCCACAATTTTCAAGCGGATCTCATCATCCTGCTGAATCACAATGTCCTAGGGAGAAGAACAAATAGTATACTGATGCTCCTTGACTTACCATGGGGTTACTTTCTTTTTCCCTTTTTTTTTTTTTTTTTT